CTTAAGTTAATATTTTATTCTAGAATTACCTTGTGTTCAAAGATTTGCATGTATATTTTAGAATTATTTAGATCTCCAATAATTCTACTTTCATATGAATGCTTCATGTATATTTTTTAAATTATTTAGATCCCCAATAATTCTACTTTCATATGAATGCTTCATGTATATTTACCATTGACATCTTCTGCTTATTCATATGCTTTGTTTATGTATTTGGTATGGAGATTCATTTGTCAGATCAATATATAGAGGTTTGGTTATATATCAAAATGAAGAATATTTGTGTGAATATTCGTCAATATTATAGAAAGATTTGTTTGACAAAATATTATAGAAAGATTCGTAAATATTATACAAATCTTCGTAGTTGAGAATTTATTAAAGATTTCTATCTTTTAAAATTGGAATTGAAGGTAGCAAATTTCAAAAATATTTCTATGGAAATGTATTAAAATAAAAGATGAAAAATGCGTTTGATGTCAGGAAAAAAATTGCTATTTACCTTTGAGGGAAATTTTCGTCTATAAGTAAGAGTAATTTGATTGTGAATATTATACCAACTCTGAAAACCATTTGTAAGAAAATAAGTTTTAGAAGCCTATTGAATTGATATGATTTTTTTTTGTTGGCCGTGATATCAATATATAGTGGAGATTATTTGCTAGGTTTAATTGTGCTTGTGATTTTGGTCTAATTTGATTATGGCTGATTTTATTATTAAGCTTGGGCTAATTTTAGTTAGGGATTAATGGGCTAAATTATATAGAATGCCATGTCATATTTTTGATAATGTCATGTCACATTAAAATTGGGAGAATGATTTTGGTGAAAACATATAAGCTTTCGTTTAAAAATCACTCTCCAATTAATATATAAGAGATAGTAGAAAATACATATATTGGGTAATACTTTACTAGAAAGTGTATAAAAATAGTTATTCCAAAATTATGTTGGTGGGATCCATTGTGCAATGACAGAGATTGCTACATTCCTCTCTTCGTTTTTTCGTTTCGCTTTCTCTCTTTCCTTTCTACATTTATTTTTCATGGGATCCAAAGAACAACATGACAACATGTTCTGAGCATGAATATGCTTGCCATTACCCAAAGAGAAAGAAAATGATTATCATTGTGATTAAGCTTTCTTTTCCAATTCTCTCTTCAAAAACATTGAGCCTATTTTTATGGTCAATATTCTTTGTCCTTGGTCAAATTTGACCTAGTCTTCTTCTTCCTCTTCGTGAGTTGTATGCTCAATTTGAATGTTTTAAAACGTTCGATCGATCAATGTAAGAGCGTCGCCCCTCTCCCTTGTCACTTCATAGATAGCTGAAATCTGCAACGACAAAAACACATGATGTTAGCAAAGGAATAAGAATAATATTCAAGAGGAAGTGTGCTTCTACAATTCTACCTATAAAGAAAAAATCAACCAGAAAACAGGGGCTAAAGCCCACTCTCATAAAAAAATATTTGCTTCTCAACTTCTTTTCATAAAAAAAAAGTGCCTTATGTTGTCTCTGTGGAAATCATAGACAAGAGGATCGGAGGGAGGTTTACAGTCCGAGTATTGATCATGCATTTGCTGGAATCATTTCGAAGAGCCCTATTGAAATATGAGAAAAGATCTGCTTCATTTCAACATCCACTTTTGAGAACTCGCCAAGGATTTGGATAACAATTAATATCCTCCATGCAGTAGGGGTAAACAGGCCAGGGCAGGGTGGCGAGGACTGCTTGTACAAAGACTATCCTCGTTTTTTTCTAGAGAGCCCCTGTTCGACCAGATGATTGCTAGGTAAGTCCATCATTTTGTCTTGCCCCAAAGAGTTTCTCCCTCTTTTTCCTAGAACATCTTCTATTTGGTGGAGCATATGTTCTTCCCGCCTTCTTTTATCGCTAATTTTTTTAAGTAGATTTCGAGTCCATTGTACATGGGTCGTAGATCTAAGGCGGTATAGATTTAAAGTGCCTTCCATGAAGACGCGTTTTCGGCGGATAGGATCTCCGGGTAAGAGGTATGTCATCCGCCTGAGGGAGCGGCTATATCTGCACAAGTAAGATCATCAAGAAGGTCTTCAGAAAGATGAGAATAAGTTTTTCTCCAGAAGACTCTCTCACACCCAAGTCAATCATTCACATGATAGTAAGTTTAATATGAAAATAAATGTGGGTTACATTTGATATCCTGTCCGAAGATCACGATTATCTTACGTCATTTATAGTCCGAGAGGAGGTAAAAAGAAAAAAAAAATTTCTTTGAATAGTGGACTGGAACTCTCTCCTAAAAAATCAAATTAGAAGTGATTGTTTTGGGATATATCTATAGTATATTGTCTCTTTCTTCGAATTTCTCTTTTACCTTTTTTTCTTCGAAATGTTTGTTAACTCAGATTTGGCTACTTCTTGATCTTTGGCTTCGAATGTGGGTTTGCTTTGGCTCTATGGTTTGAGATTGGGGTGATGACTTTACTTTCCTCTTTAATCAAATCCTCGTTTTAGTGTCTTGTATCTCTTAGGCAAAGATTTCTCTATGAATATCTTTGTGTCCTTGGGTCTTATACTTTGTGGTATTTGCTTTTATCGTTGTAACTCGTATGTTTGTGTATTCTTTCACTATAATATACGATGACCAAAAAAAAAAAAAATCAAACTTACCTTGATCTCTCACCCTGTCAAACTTTTACTATCACTTGTGCTTTTCATGGATAGTTCATGTTGTTTTTTTGTAGATAGTGTTAATACCGATCTAACATTGACTAGTCTTGAGATAGACCTGAAGCCTATACGAGGGAAAATAGCTCCCCACTTGCTTCCTGATATAGAAACTCTTTTTTGGAATATGTAAAATCAGCTCCATCAATATATAAACTAGGTTAGTCAATTGATTATAGTTTTAGTTAAAAAGTCAATTGTACGTTTTGCAAAAATTATTATATAGAACTCGAGATATGTTTGTGTATATTCGAATATGTTCAAATTATTTTTTAGCTTTCTATAGAAATCATGTAGTAGTTTTGGAATAAAAATAAAATATTTGGAAATCTTTCTGGTAATTAATAGAAATTACTGATTACTAAGAACATAACATCTACGGATATATTTTGATAATTTAATAGGTGTACACTTTTTTTGATTAATCATAACTAACCAAATACCCTATTTATAGGGAGAATTTGCCAAAAATACAACAAAAC